TATAAGTATATAACTTTAAAAAATAAAAGTGCTTTATCTGCATTTGCCTACCTTCATGAGTCAGGTTTCCACACGAGGGCAGAGGCTAATGCTTTACTGCCAAAAGATTTTAAGTGCACAAGCGATCATTCATTTAAAAAAAAAAAAACACATCGTCATGAAAATGTAAAGGGACACTAACACTTTCAAAGGTGCTTCACAACACTGAAACATACTGGTCTCAAACATTTGAACTGCTTGATAACGTTTTATCCTAAGCACCATGACCAACAATCCGTGTAACTGTACTGAGTTCATCCATCCATCCATCGTTCCATGGGCTCACATCCGTTGGTGTCCAATGCCCGTCTGACGCTCCATTTCCACTGTGCACGGTCCTGTGCCATCCTGCTAAGAGAGTGGATGTCCCTCTGACACCATTCTTTGATGTCATCCAACCACTCCCTACTCGGTCTTCCTCTCCGTGTCCGTCCATCCATGATCCCAAACACCACACACTTCACCAGTCGCTTGTCCTCCATCCTGCAGATATGTCCAAACAGGCTGAGCTTCCTCTCCATGATGAGTTGTACGATGTTCCTCGTGTTTCCAACTCGTCTTTGCACCTCCACGTTTGTGATTTTCTGATGCCAGTGAATGTGCAAGATTCGCCTGTAGAACTTAATTTCAAATGCCCACAGTAAATCTTTGTCTTTCTTCCTCAATGTCCATGTCTCACAAGCATATAGCAACACACTCATCACACATGTCCTGATTATGCTTATTTTGGTTTCCGGTTTCACGTTCAATCACGATAAAATGCCCTGACGGTTAGTATTATCGTTTAAAATTGAATTATCATCAAAACCGTATTTGATTATTGCGATTTTGAAAATTCGCGGTAAATCCTGTCCAGCCAGCATCAGTCTGACGTAGAAGCAGCATGCAGTGTTGTTGTTTTTTGCACGAGACGAAAATGCGGAAGGCAGTGACAGCGCTCAGGAGATTTTTCAGCCATATAAGAGAACCAAATCGGTGGTCTGGTCGTATTTTGGCTTTTACAAGAGTCCTGAAGGCAGTTTAATCGAGGACGGGTCACCCTGTCTGCTGATCTTGCAAGAAGAAAGTCGCTGCAAAAGGGGGAAACGCATCAAATTTGCTCCGTCATCTTCGTGACCACCACCCACTGTATAGCGAATGCAAGGTAACTTTTACCTCAATACCAAAACTAACTGGGCAAATAATTGGACAAAAAATATTGATTAGAGATTAAATATTTCGTTATCTCACTTGTAATTAACGCAAAGCTTCCGCGAAGAAAAGTTCGCAGCAAGTGACTTTGAGCCAAGACGAACGAACGTTCAAACTATAAGGTTGACATTTAAGGGATAATGTATTGTATATTCATAGTTAACTTATTACACTGATTTTTTTTTGTTTACCTATAATAATATATAAATACGGGGATATGAAATACTGAATTGAGATTAATGTTTTGAAATCTTACCTGTTTATAAATCCATTATGAACAGTGTACAAAACAATCGTCAGGACAATATGATCACTACAGCAAAATCTATCACTGACGAAAAATATGTTGTCTTACTTTAAAAGACTAATTTAATTAGCCTATTCTATTTATGTTTGTATGTGAACTCGAAATCAACCCCAACTTTGCTTTAAAAAGCATCACAAGATCTCCTAACCGAAGATCACTAACGGAAATCACATTGTATGTATATATTTTGTGTGTGTATATACAGTATGTATGTGTATATACATATATATATATATGATTTATTATTATTAGAGCTTCATGTTAATGTTAATTTAATTTTTATGCTAAAAAAGTGCATATAGCTGCTAATTGTATTTGTTGTTTGTTGATTTTCAAATATAAAACTTATTGAAATGTTTTCAGTGTGTGTATCAGTTCTTTTTGAACGTTTTCATCTAATTTTAACAAAACCATGATAATATTGATAATCGTGATAACTTTGGTCACTATAACCGTGATATGAAATTTTCATACCGTTACATCCCTAGCTGATTTTGGTCTCTGTTCTGATATGCTTACTGTTCCATATTGTCTTGAACCCTGCCATTACTCCCGTTGCCCTCGCTATTCTCCTTTTGATCTCCTTGTTACAATCGTTGTCCCAGGTCAGTAGACTACCCAGGTACACAAACTCTGTGACATTTTCAAAACTTCTGCCCCTAATCTCCAGTTCCTCTTCTAGGTCCTCTTGTCCAAACACCATTGTCATTGTCTTTTCAATGTTGCTCTTTAATCCTGCGGCCTCTCCTGCTTCATTCATCCGATCCAGATTTCCTTGTAATTCAACTCTATCCTGCTCCAGTACTGAGTTCAGGGCGCCCCATCTATCTGATCTGAGGTCAAGCCACAGCAGATCGGCTCCTGACAGTCACTGACTCCCTGTTCTGCTCCTCAGAGTCACAACCTTTGGTCAAACAAAGCTATCTATACTACTTAGTTCATATAGCAGGGAGCCACTTAACCCATTTAATCCCACCGGTCACAATTGTGACGGTAAAAAAAGGTTTTCATTTATAAAGCTCTGAAAACCTTACTGACTGCTGTTTTGGTGCATTCCCTGCAAATATGGAAAAAATAAAAGGGTCTCAATGAAATATGTGCAGTTTCACATGGTTATTGCAAATTGTCACATGACCAGAGCAGTTTATATCCTGTTTGCACCATGAGATGACGACTGCATCAAAGCTCCAAAACAAAAGGCTAGTAATATATGTTAAAGATATGACAAAGATTTTTGGTCCACATTATCTTTACGGTGTCTTGTATTAATATATGAATTCACAATTATTAAACTGTTGAGTGCTGTCATAGAATGAGAAAAACATGTTGCCGGTCACAATTGTGACCGGTGGGATAACAGTGAATTTAGGTATACATATCAATCCAATTGCAGGTGTTACTGAAAACTGCACTAAAATGTTGCAGTGACAAAATATTGCACTAAATTAAAAGTTCAAATGTTACAAATAAGTTACAGTATTGATGTTGTAATACTGGTAGCACTAATATAACAATTTTATGATATAGGTTACAATTAAGTAACAATTTTGAAATACGTTGATGGTTGTATTTTATCTCAGTATTCCGATCAATGTTTTATAAGGGTTTTTATGCACAATAGTAACCCTAAAATGTGATGAAAGACATTAAAATATCTGGGCTGAGAAGTATAACAATTTTTATGACTGCAGAAATAGGTTAATTCAGTATACACATTATCCCACCAGTCACAATTGTGACCGACTATAAAACAATTTGTCACACACTTTTCCAAAAACTATTTCAAAAAATAATTATCGGTATCGGGCCCGATACTGGTCTCCTGTACTCGTACTCGTTAAAATGCCCCGATACCACACAGCATGTGATAAGCGCCATATTCAAACAAAGAAACACTGACAATAGAAAGGAGTTAAGGATGTCTACTACGAAGTATATGTATGCAATGAATATAATATTAAACATTCAGTATTCAGTATAGCTGATGTGCGCAAGCTGATTAACAAAGCATGCTGAGTGGATTGAGCGCACGGCGGCGCAGATGCGCGAGCTTGTCGAGTGAATATATCTTTCTCACAGACATCACTGGAAAGTTTGTAGTTCGGTCGGATATGTCAAAAACAAGTAAGTAAAACAATGCACAAGTTACTTAACGGTAGCGAGAGAGAGAGAGCGAGAGAGAGAGAGCGAGAGAAAGAGAGCGAGAGCAATTCTGTTGTGTGATCTTTGATGTTTTGATACAAATTTGGGTCCAAAAATTATTCAGACCGAGTCTGGGGGGAGAAAAAAAAACAAAAAAACAAAAACAAAACTGAAGTTGAGAGAAATGTTGAAGGTGTCTGAATAAATTTTGGTTTCACTATCTATTTGATAAATAAAGTTAACCAACTAACATTATACATACCCGTTTGGTTTCTGTACCCAATATTTTAAAAAAAATGTACAAATGCAATAAAAATATCGGTATCGGTACTCGGTATCGGCAAGTACCAAAAATAGAAGTATCGGTATCGGGCGAGTACTGGAAAAAGTGGTATCGGTGCATCCCTACTGATTATGCAATGCTAGTTATTCTCTGTATAAAGACCTTTTATGTCTTATGTGATCATGTTATTGATTTACATGCTTATATTTCTGTATTTTTTGTATGTTTACAGTTTTACATTATTCCAAGATCGATAGTAAAGCTGGAGAAAAGATTCCTTGCATCAGATGTTATTGGAAGGCATTATCTGTCTGCCAAATCAAGCAGGGCGTTTGACAAGAGGGCAGAACACATATGCAAACAGAAAATTAAGAGTAAAAAAACAGCACACGGAGTTGAAAAAAAAAAAAAAAAAGAAGAAAGAAAAACGCATCTTGACTGCATGATCAAACAGGACAGTCCTGCACTATAAACACATTCCACCAACTATAAGAATGTTGATGTCAAATTACACTGCATAAAACAAAACATTCCTTGAAACTACAGACTCTTTTGAACAATGTTTAAAAAAATTCAAACAACACTAATCACAAACCTAAAGAAAACAGAATAAAACAGTGCTTGTGCTCACTGCTATAATCTGTCTCCATGTTTGGGGTGCCCCATCTATCTGATATCTGAGCTCAGCAGCAGTGGATTTGCACCTGCAGGTGACTGAATCTACCCACTACCTAGCATTGACTAAAATAAAGGGTCATTCTCCACCACAAAGCTTTCTGGGGAACATGGTTTGACCCAGTAAAGAGTGCAATATACACAGTGTAGTAAATATTAAGAATCACAGGACGACTCACCTCAGCAGCTGTTGATTTCCCAGAAGGAACCACTATTAACACTGTCAGGACCTCACTGGAACAAAGCAAACAATTAAAAGCTGCATTTGTAACTGACGTTTCTAGAGGTGTAACAGGAACACTGTGAGCTGCTTGTGGAAATCATCCATCTGTAAGCTGAAGGGAGGCATTTTATAATTAAATGAGATTAAAATACCTTGGAGCTCTATAGCATTGACAGTCAACAACGAGAGGGCTTCCATCAAGGAGTGGAGAGGACAAAAAAAAATCTGGGCTCTTTAATGTTCAGATTACCTGTAGGAAGACATTACAGATAAAACGTTGAGCTAACATTGGTAGTTGCTTTAAACAATAGAAACATTAAGAAAAACAAGTTTCTCTACAGATCCGAATTTTAATAGAACGTATTTTGGTTGAGAGGAAAGTGTTGCTTTGCTCATGTTAGGCTTGACTGAGACTTCGATTCGACAAGAGGACAGAGTGTGGCTACAGCTGGAATAAAGTCAGCTTTGGGACAATCAATAGTATCAATCAGACAAAAATCAAAATGCACAGCAGACATGCTGAGTGTGTTAACTCAAACATACAGTCACAAGTGGTAAATAAACAAGCAGTTATCAATGCAGCCATGAATGAACCATCTCTGAAACTCTCTAGTGTGCACATTGTTAGACGGATCTAAATTTCTGTCAGTAAGTTTGGGGCACCCCATCTCTGGTATCTGAGCTTACAGGATGGATTGTAAGCTGTTGACCAAGTAAAGTCAACCATTTGCACACAATATTGAAAATATTGTAAGGAAGGTTAGGTAAAATCTTTGGAGGACTCTTACCTTGCCAGGTGTTGGTAAGAGCTCCTTTGGCACGGTCAGATGTTTTTAATACCAGACTTAAGGGACTGTTGATTATTTGAGATTACATTTTAAAAAGGACATTTTCTGCATATGATGTTATAGCATAATTTGCATAAAAACACATTTACTCATCAATTCCAGTTTGTACAGTCATCACAACTTTGAGGATGTTGAATATCAAGGGTTTAACAAAACAAAACAAAAAAAAACAAAAAAAGCGCTTTACTCAGATTAATCACATGCACAGCAATGCTTTGCAACCACTGCATTTGGTTAGCATCCACAATTTAAACCATTATGTTTCAACACTGCTCAGAAGCAAATAAATATACCAATAAATCTATACAAGCTTTGTGTGGGTGAATTTCTGGATATTACTCACTCATTTACAACAATAACGAAGCATTTGAAATTGCAATTAGCTAGTAATCCTCAAGCTCACAGATCGTTTGTGGACAAAAATAATCAAGTTCCTTCAGAATGTGCCAGCATTGAGTCCTAACTGAAATTGATAAAAAAAAATAAAAAATAAAAAAACAGTGAAACTGAAACACAGTTACGGAAATATGCATTCACAATACATGCTGAATACTCTAGTCTGAGGCGGTTTCTCTTGATGCAGCTCTTAACATCTGTGCCACACACTCAAACTGTGCATGCAGACAAAAACTCACCTGCTTGTAGCTTTCTAGAAACCCTTAGACCTTGATTAGCTGGTTCAGGTGTGTTTGATTAGGGTTGGAGCTGAACTCTGCAGGACTGAGCCACCTCATGTGTTAGATGTTTTAGTACCATTAAAATCACATTTATATAAGCAAGGTAGTGATGTTACATATGACACTGAAGCTTCAAAGCATGTATCGAGTACGCAGTGCAATTTCTCACGAAGCTCTGTGCCGGTGTTACGAGATTTTCTGTTTCAGTGGGCGAGGCATATATGAATATTCATGAGCTTCCCGGTGTTACGAGATTTTCGGTTTCCGATATTTTCGGTCTCAGTGGGGGGAGCATACATGAATATTCATGAGTTTCCCGGACATGCGCGTGGAACCAAGTGGAACTGAGAATTTCAGTTCACGCTCCTTGTATCTCAACAGGTTTAATGGGATATTTTAAAAAAGGTAAATATATTTACAGTGTTGCACAAACCTATGCCTAAACTACATTTGTTCGTCATTTTGTAACAGTTTATAATGTTTTCATTAGTCTGCACGATTTGTGCAGTCGTCACTGACTGAATGATTGCAGACATTCAGCACACTTAATCTAGTTGTATAAATTACTTTGATTTCAGTTCGTTGTGCTGTAGCTTGCAATGCTTTAAATCTATGTCTGTTGTTAGCTGTTATCATTTGAGTACAACAGCTGAATTAAACTTGTATTTGTGGACTAATCGTTTTTCATCTATCCTGGTGTGATTGTTCTTAAACTGTTAGGCTTAGGCTATATTTACAAAATGAATAGGAATCTAAAACCACACACACACACAAGCATGGAAGTTTAAAATTTTGGTTTAAACAAAATTGTATGGACAAAAGTTTAAAAAGTAGCCTACATTTGGTACACTGTAAATGAGAAAACAAATACTTCACTGCATTTTATGGAATGGAATAAGAAACTAATTTCATGTTAACAAATAATTTTATTAACAAATGTTCATAAGTGTGCTTGTGCTTGTTTTGATATGATATATACAATACTGTTCTAAGGATTTGTATTAGTAAGGTTCTTTGTTCATGTTCACCAACTGCATCAGATTAAAAATATTAAAAAACATTAACATTGTGAAATAATTTTACAATTTAAAGTAAAGTTTTTTCCCCCCGTGATGTCAGATCTCAACTTCTCTTCAGTGTCTCATGATCCTTCAGAGATCATTCTAATATGCTGATTTGCTGCACAAGAAACATTTCTGATTATTATCACAGCTGAAAATGGTTGTACTGCTTAATGAAGTGTGGAAACCATTATACAGCGACAAGATTCCTTGATGAATGGAAAGTTCAGAAGAACAGCATTTATTTGAAAGAGAAATCTTTTTTTTACATTATAAATGTCTTTACTGTCATTTTTATTAAATTAATGCATCTTTGAAGAACAAAAATATACATTTCTGTAAAAAAAATCATAGTAATTACAAACTTTTGAATGGTAATGTCATGTATGAAATGCCAGAATCAATTTAAGAAATGTCTTTTTTTTTTAGCATTATTATGTCATATTTTTATACAGCAGATTCTACAAGGACGTTAACATCACACTCTCTTGTCTCCTATGTTGTCTTTTTGGTGCATACATCTTTTTAATTTGTAACAAGGATTCAATAGTGATTCATGCTCAAAATTCAGGAAAACTTTACTTTATTAATCGCATTCTCCATGACTAACATTTTCCTCATATAGTCAAATATAGATGGTCAAATATAGATGGAAGAGATGTGTTTTTAGCTGTTTCTTGAAGATGGCTAAGG